AAAATTAAATCAGAAAAATTTTGCCACGTTTAATTTACCGTCGCATATAACCTTACTTTTTGTCACGGGCTAACTTTTTCCGTCGCAAAAACAATAAATTTCGTGACAGCGCTTAAACCGTCGCAAAAAGCAAGCTTTTGCGACGGCACTTAAACCATCGCAAATTGTTCCGTGTCAAATGCCCATTTTTCTAGTATTGTACTTGCCTCTTAATTCAACTACCTCTTAATTGGATTTTCTATATATAAATATACAAATGGATGGTATATATAACACTCTCAAACAATTGTATTTCAATCAGTTTCTTACTATCAAATTATTACTACTTTTAAGTTTGTGGAGGGAGAGGGAGAGAGAAAGAGAGAGCAAAAAGATAAAATGTGAATAAAATATACTTACATTTCACATAATTTTACACACATTTTCCCTTTTCTTTTATAAATTACTTTTTAAATCTTCCAACCAAATATAGTGTTAGTTCCATGATTTTGGCTTTTTCCTTTCTAAAAAAAAATACTCAAAAAATAAAAATAAAAAAGTCATTTTAAGCAAGACCAAAAAAAAACAAAAACAAAAAAAACTAGAGGTGTTGCCTTTTTTGCCCAACAACAAGATGCAAAATAAATAAATAAATAAAGCACAAAAGCGGCACCAATCTTACTACCCTTTTGGTTGGGTGGAGCTTTTTTTTAATTAAAAATAAATAATTAAAAAGTTGATGTTAAAAGTATTCATATCCTAACTTTTAAATAATTAATTTTTTTCAGTTTATTTAAACTATTTCTGCCTAATAAGTTATAAACAGAAGTTGCATCAAATAATTTAATATAGACTCTTGTGTGTGTGATTTTCCGACCACACTGCCCGCTTAGTAACCAGCTGGAGAGCACTGGCAGAATAGGTGGCACCTGACTGACCTGTAACAGAAATATAAGAATCCCGCGGTGGTTTCGACCACCCGGGGGCACTCCGACGATCAAGTCAGTATATCAAAACCAATCTTGAAAGTTTATTATAGTGCATAAAGTATTATAAAAGACAGCTAACACAACCTAAAGTAGGGGTGGTCTGTTCGTCATCCGAGTATTATTGGTAAAATATCCATCGCTTTATTTGCTTGACGAAAATTATGTTAAAAAGATCTCTTCATCATCCGTTCTAAATTATTTATCTGGCACAAAAATGAAAATTTAAAAATAATATATTTTTATATGAAAATTATATTTTTATCTTAAAGAAATCTTTTAATTTGTAATTTTTTTTTAAATATATTATTTCTAAATTCTCATTTCCTATGTCGAACACAGAAGGAGTAATTCATAATAATAAATATTATAAAAAAAAAAATCACCTTACATTAGGTTGGTATTAATTATATAGTAAAGTGCAACTTCATAAGATCACAAGACAATAACAAAGTCATCCACCAATATCTCAACAAACGAGCTAATTGTCAAAAAGGAAATATTATTAGGTTTTTTTTAAGCAATGCCGTATTCCTACCTATTGCCATTTTTATATTATCTTTTAAAATATCAACATAAAAGGGTGATTTGAGGGAATTTTTCAACTTTATTTTGTGTGCAGACTAATATATATATATATATATATATTCCAATTGATAGGAAATTAATTATAAATACAAGAAAATAGTTATTGTGGGGATATATTTTTGAGTACCAACACGTTGCAAGGTGACGCCTACGTGTCAGCCGAGGTACCACGTGTCCTGGTCGATATGCCGAGGTGTTAGGTCGAGGTTATCTCCGAAGATATCGGAATCCGAAATAAGCGGATAAGGATAAGGAACAAGAGTCCTAGAATAAAGAAGAGACTTAGCCAAGATAAGAATAAAGCTCTTAGGGAGTTTATCTTTATCTCTTGAGGAGTCCAAAGTAAGTACTGAACAGAAATCCATAGAAGTCAGGCTCCTATTGGGATTAGGATTGAAGTAACTATAAAAGAGAGGCACCCCATGGGTCTAAGGTACGCAATTTATATTATGTCTAGTGAGTTAAGCACTATTGATTATCTTTGAGAGATATACTGACTTGATCGTCGAAGTGCCCCCAGGTGGACGAACCACCGCCGGAAGCTTCTCTTTCTGTTGCAGGTTAGCCAGGTGTCATCTATTCTGTCAGTGTTCTCCAGCTGAATACTGAGTCGGGCAGTGTGGTTATAAAATCACCCACACAGTTATTAATTTGAAGCATCACTTGAATTTATTATTCGAATCCTGAATAAAGTTTGTTGTCAAAGAAGTCTTTTAGTCATTAGAGTAACTCTAATGACGTGCCAAATCTTTGAGCCAGAAGCTATTTTTATCTATAGCTTCATAGAAAATAGGAAAAATTACCAAAATGTGAGAATTTTTGGGGAGTGAAACACTTGCTGCGTTTTTTTACACAGAAAAGAGTTGCACTCCCATGGTTTTGCAAATATTTTTGGCCAAATAGGCTTAATTGTAATTTCCTGTAAAAAAATAAAAATAAAAATACCCTACAATGATTTGTTAAACATTATGCCAAAATTTGACACTTTTTTTAGTCATTCAATGGGAGAATAAGAAATATTACATCAAACTGAATATCAAAAGTCCAAACAATATTGTGCAGGAGAAGGCGTAGGCAAAGGCGAATGATACGATTTCCATCACTCAAAAAGCCGATATATTCAGTGTAGGTTTTGTTATGTGATCTCTTGTATCAGTTCCAGACTGATAGCGAGAGATTCACACTTTTTAGAGATATCAAGGAAGGGTCCTCTCCAGATAAAGTGAATCCCATTCCGTCTGAGAGTTAGTGGGGTGCATTGTATTTAATTCCTTGTAAGGGTTTTATTTATTCTTGAGGGTTGTTGTGTTCTTTATTGTTAACAGTGGTTGATGTTTGGTGTTTGTCCTGCTTGGGTGGAGGTCCAAGGTACAAGAAGACGACATGCTTTGAGAGAGATTCGGAAGTATAAAAATACCCCTACTACTGCTACTCGCATCCATACAACCAACCCCTTGGCCTCACTTTTTTTTTTTTGAAAACAAAAAAGTTTGGCATGAGAGTTGACTGCGCCAAATAATATGAAACTATTGAAATAAATAGCTAAAAAATATTTTTTTACAAAATAGCAATCCAAAACATGATTGACCAAACAATTTTTACTTTTACCATTAAAGTTGTTATTGTGCATTTACCTAGCCCATGGGTGGCCTCTTGGAGTTTAAAGGTGCCTTGAATTTCAAAACACATGATATAGGTACTTCAAAACCGGGTTGGATCTAGCGCATGATTGAGTTTTCTTCTCAGTATTAGTTGGGATCATCTAACTTAGGTATGATATTTTTTGCTCTTCCCTACTTTATTGATACTTTTGGTGTATTTTGTACTTTCCTTTTATCAATGAAGCTTCCTATTTTTTGCTGATAAAAATAAAAAAAAAAAACGATGGTTTCTAAACTTGTTTGATATCGTTTTTGTATTTTTTTATTTTTTTGTATTTTTTTGTTTCAAAAACAAAATTAACAGAAAGTTTGAAAATATCTATCGTAATTTTTTTTTTTTTCAATTTTGTTTACAAATTCTTGGTATTGTATAAAACAATATGCTAGGGACAAACCAACAGAACCCAACACATAAAACATATAGATGGAAAAATTTGTTAGTGAAACCTACTTCTAGAAAATCATAGCTGTCAATATACACTACAAAAAATTAAGATTTTAGAGGCCAAAATTTAGATACAAAATTATTTTTTAGGCACCAAATATTTTTGTTGCGAAAAGTGTCGTCGTTAGATTTTTAGCAACGAAAATTGGACATTAGTAATGAATTATTATCATTTTGAGACCAAATTTTTTGTCTCAAAAAATAAACTATTTTGAGACCAAATTATTTTGTCCCTAAAAGTCTATTTATTAGTGGCATTTTTAAAATTTTGTCGCTAAAAGCTTTGGACGACCTTTTAAGGACAATCCTTACGACGATAGAAATTGATCCCTACATGTCTTTTGTAACAAAATTTTCAAAACTCTTATATATTGTAGCAATATTCTATTCCATGTTTGATTTATGAATCCATAAATTTATAGTTTATATATAAAGAAAAAGTTGTTTTAAAAAAAATCAAAAACAATTTGCCAAACAAATTTTTTGTACTTCTTAGAAAATGAAAACAAAGATATGACTAGAAAAGATTGGGTTCCCTATTTTTCGTACCGATTAAAAATTTAGAATTTTATTTTATTTTTTACAGCAAATTTAGAACTTTATTAAGCATAGTAGAAACAATATTTATATATCACATGAACATAAATATTCACCTGTCTAGTTATTTTAAATCCCATCATGTTGCCAGAGATGGTCTGCTATGACTCGGAAAGATTTTTCATTACATGAATAAAATGAAGATGTTTAGCTCATGTCATAGTTTTAAAAAATTATCACACTACTATAATGTAAAAGAGTTTTAAAAATTAAATTCTTTTGTTCGTAAAAGTACAAAAAAAAATTGTTGAAACAACATTAGTGCACTAATTTTTGTTGTCGCGAGAGTCGTCGCTAGTTAAAAAAATAATAATAATAATTTTAGTGATAAAATTTTAAAAATATTGCAAATAAATGCACTTATGGGGACAAAACAATTTAGTGCAAAAAATATTTATTTTTTTAGACTAAAATTTAGTTTCAAAATGAAGGTAATTGATCACTAGAATGTATGTCCAAAATCATTGCTAAAATATAACAATGACACTTTTAGAAACTAAAATATTTTGTTCTTGAAAAGTGATTTTATCTCTAAATTGTTCTCTAAAACCTTTATAAAAATTCAAAATGTACCGCCCGTAACTACCAAGTTATAATAAAATTTAAAGCCCACCTTAATATTTTTGAATTGGAAATAAATATTTGTTGATGTGGGATTTTTACCGTCCATTGATCATGAACTGAAATGGAGATCTCCATTCCATCTGTTTATAGAGAATATCTGAAATCATGATGGTATTGGAATATATTAAATTTAGAACTTTATTAATCACAGTAGAAACGACATTTATATATCACAATACACCAAAACACAAGAAAATAAGGTCATTTCAGATGAGAGCATGGCCATCTCCAAGCTCAAGAGCACTCATTTCTTCCTTGAATTTAGCCATGGCAGCTCTAGGAAGCGCAACAAAAACCCTAACCCCACCTTCCATTGTATCATCCAAGCTGAAAGGAGGCAAAAGCAAATTCAAATCCACATACCCATCAATGTTCCAAGGCAACGGTATAATATTCACAGCCCCTTTCCACCCAAAATCTACTTCTCCCATCAGATTCAACCTCCTCCAATCCGTTAACACCGTTGCTGCACCACTCTTATTATCTGTTTCAATCTTCAGTTCTCTTATAGTCTCTAATAGATTGAGTTCCTTCAAGATGTATTCATTGTTTGAAGCAATTTCCTTGCTCTCTCTGATCAACGATGCAACTTTGGAAAGCGGTCCTTCGTCTAAGTCCCTTCCATTCAACACGACGATTGAGGACACAAAAGCATTCCCATAATACCCATCAGGCAATGGTGGATTCAAAAGCTTTCTAATCCCCAAAGCTAAGAAAAAGACGGTTTTTCCATCTGGGTTTAGCTCTAAAGCCCTAACCCTAGACCTCCATATGTAGGCACCAAGTGCCTCAACAACGGTGAAACTATTGTTGTCATCCGATGCTTTCATCAAATTATTTTTTAGTCTTGTTAAGCTCTCACTTTTGACATTGAAGCATTCATGTATCGTATCAGTGACTGGAAAATATGGTGAGTTTGCGCAGGAGGCCTGGTCGACAAGAAATTGGATTAGACCATTGTTAGGACTCCCTAACAATCTTTCTCTCTCCCATACCGGTTTCACCGATGGCTCGCCTTTTCCACTAGCTAGCTCAGCCAAGGCTCGAAAGAACTGGGCTGCACCAAACCCATCACAAACTGAGTGTGATAAGCCCATTCCAATTGTGAAACCGCCACACGAAAACTTAGTCACTTGTATGACTAGCGGGTGGTAACCTTCATCATCGGGCCTAGTTGGAAAGTCAGTGACAAAATGTTTGGCAGTTTCAACATCAACCCCATCAAAATAGTGAAGGGAAGAGAGATCGCACGTGGCGGTTGCCTCTAAAAAAGGCACGCCATCGGCATTACAGTTGATTCGAAGCTTTCCATCACTGTGCCTTTTGAGCTTCCCAGCCAAGGGATAGTAATGAACCAAAACCCTAGAGAGGGCTTCTTTGATCACACAAGCTGGGTCAGAATGGCTACTCAAAATCGACTCATGATTATTATTGCCATTTGGGTATTTGATGTTTGCTTGATAGACATGCATGGTTTGACAAAGAACTTCAAGGTGGTTAGTATTGTCTATGGTGGAGAGGGAAAGAACATGTGAAGGAGTAGGACTTGAGGGTTTAATGAGTACAATTTCTTTCTTATCAAGCATGAAGGGCATTTTGTGGTTGGTTGCCATTGAAGAGTTGATGCAAGAGGTGTGTATGTATGATGCTAGGGGATTGCTGAGGATGAAAAATTGAGTGTGGTTCTCGTAAATTTATAATAGAACCATAATTGATGCATAGAATAGTGCATAGAATAAAGAGAACCGTAGGAATCTAAACTTTCTCTATTTTATGCAAACAAATTTTTTTCTTTTTTTTTGGGTCCCATCCCATTTTAAAAGGAATTTTGGGGAAAGAAGTTGATAGACAGTATGAATTGGAGTTGTTGGAGGGAAGAAGTGAAGTTGAAGGGGTTTTCTTCTTTTTTTTGATTCAAGTTGAAGGGTTAATAGTTGTTAAAAAATAAAAGTAAGTTGAAGGGTTAATAAAGTGACTTTGATACTATAAAAAAACAGTTAAACAAATAAAGTGACTTTTGTTACTATCAAAAAAAATAATTAAATAAATAAAGTGACTTCTGTTATTGGGGTGGACGGGAAGCAACTACTGCATATGGGGATTTCTTTGCACATGGAAACCAACTTGGGGAATTTGGATGATAGTGGAAAGACGAATCAAGAAATCATCCCCACAACTTCCATGAAGTAACTTCATAACCACAAACAATTGTGCACTTATTTCGTCAACGCAATGAATTCTGAATAACTTGAAACCCTTTGAGATGCCTTTCCCACGGTTTCTAAAATGGTCCACACCCGTTATGTGAGCAACCATCGCTACTCTGGTCGTTACGTAATGAGTGAATTTGATAAATGTAATAGCCACCACTGTTATGTAACAAGTTGTTATGACACCATTACATAGCAATGGCAATGTCATCTACTACATTTAAAAACCTATTTTTGTTCATTTTTTTTCTTTTAGTTTTAGTTTTTTTTTAATTATTATTATTATTTTTTTTTTATTCACTTGACATTAAGATTGAACAAATTTTTATATGCAAATGCAACTTGTAAGTTGTATATTGTTTTACATTGTATGAATTGAAAATATAAATTATATAATTTTAGTTTGTTTAATAAATAACAGCAATGATTTTCAAATTTATTTATTAAACAATAATGTGTAACCTACAAATTTGAAACACAACCTAACAGGGTTCAGCTTGTCTGCAGTCCACTGGATTAGGGTTGAGTAAAAAATTCGTGAAATTCGTAATCCAATCCGGTTCAGTCCCATCTAATAGGTTTTGATTGATTTTTTGAATCCGTGGTTCGGTTCCGGATTGAACTCCACGGTTCCGGATTTGAACTAATCCGAACCGTATACAAATAGCCTATATTTATATTATACACCCTCCTGCATAATATCTTTTCTTATTCCATATAATACCTAAACCCAAACTTAAACCCCGTAGCATCTTCTTTTATTGTTTTGTTTGTTGGTTTTTAGTTTTAATTTGTAATGGTCTAAATACTTGTGATGAAACCAGTTTTCTTATAGTTGTTTAAATTTTAAAACAGTATGTCGCTATTATGGAAAGACATGTTGCCATTGTGAAACTAATATGACACTATGTTTATGTTTTTATAAAATTAAAATGTTCTATATATTTTTTTTATTTAATTATGTGAATTCGTGTTTTAAACTGATCCAATCCGTGTTTAAATGGATTGGTTTGGATTGGTTCTACGATTTAAACGGACTGGATTGGTTCTAATTTTTCAAAAATCGTAGATAACAGATTGGTCCTGATTTTATCCCAATCCGAACCATTCTCAACCCTACACTGGACTTTGTTGTTTGGGCTAGTGGGGCCTACTACGGAGCCCATCTCGATAATTCGAACTATTCATTTTTCAGATCATAACATGTAGATTATTCGTTAAAAAAAAATATATGCAGGTCCGACAACTCTAACACATTAGTTCATGACATTTATTTGAAAAAAAAAAAAATGACAAATATTATTTGAAATATAAACCATCCATCCTTTGGAAAACATTAAACTAATGTGATTACGGTTATCGAATCGATCTGATTTTTTTCATAAATGATCTACGTATCGTGCTATAAAAAATGAACGATTCGAATCATCAAAATAAAACTATGCTAAATTCCACAAGCCGACACAACACGGTCTAGTCCACTTGGACGGCGGACAAGCTAACATTATAGGTCTATAACTATTAATAACAAAATAAATAACAATTGAGCAGTGCATTATGAATTTTACACAAAAAAAATAAATAAATAAATAAATCATTAAATGCTGATAGAAAAATATGTCAAAACTCTCTTCATAATGACTTAAAAACCGTATAAAATTTAGTACATTTATTAGATCATATTTTACAAAAATACTAAATCCCTTGTACTAAAAAAAAAATCTTTTTAAATCTCAATAAATGCGATTCCAAAATTTGGGGAAAAAAAAAAAGGCATATCAATTAGTTTTTGCAAGTTTGTGTGAAACGTAAAAAATTCACATCTCCAATTATTGCAATTGTTATGCTATGCTCATTACGCCATGCAATTACATTAGCGCCACCATTATCATTAGGGTAACCACTTACGGTACCTCTAATAGTTAAAAGGCAGTGGCTTTGGTCCAGTCTAAGATTGGATTGGATCGTATTGTTGAGTTCGTGAGGGCTCACCACGCATCTCGTTTTGATAATTCGTACCGTTTAATATGTAGAACTCGTCGAGTACTATATGTCTGTAAAAAATCACGTTGATTGGATATCGATAGCTATGTGAACAAAACAGTTTTTAATCAACCGTTAATTTTTTCACCGTCCATTTTTTTTATACGAAACTGATTTGATCACATAGCTATTGATATCCGATCAACATAATTTTTTACAGGCATATAGTACTCGACGAGTTCTACACATTGAACGGTTCAGATTGTCAAAACGGACCCAAAAAATGGGCCCCATGGGCCGGACTGGACGGGTCCAGTCTTGATCTCAACTTGAGACAAGCCGGACTGGACGGGTCTAGTTAAAATAATATGTTGTGGTGCTTTTTTGTTAACTTTTTAAAAAACAACTTCATAAATATCAAGTGATAAATAATATAGAGTAATATTCTAAAACTAATAAATAACGACATTTTGATGGTTTAGACCGACAAAGGAGATCATGTCTAGGGGAAATAAATAGAAGAAATAATAGAAATAATGTGGGTATTTGGAAATTTGTTATTTTAATAGGTATTTTAATTTTTAATTATTTTAGTAGACTGAAATTTTTATATTTGGGGAGATAATTGAATTTTTTTGTAATTAGATGTGATGTTTGTAAGAGAAAAAATAAAATAATTATGAATTTAATGTAACATTTTATCTTATTAACTATTTTAATCTATTTTATCTTTTATAAATTTTAATTAAAAAATAGCCCAAACCCAACTTGCGGAACAGCTCCAATATATCACACTAGGAGCAGAGCACACAAGGGTTTCTTATCCAAAGTCATCAAGGCAAAGTTCCACAAAGACCTTGATCTAATAATGCATCCAGTACTCAATTGGATTTGGATATGATCCATGTGCATAATAGTTTTGCTCTGTAATGATAAGGGCCACATCGCACATCATAAATGGAATACAAGAGAGTATGATGCAAGCATGACATTTCTCGAGTCTTAGCTTCGAAATACTCTATCCTCAAAAGTCATACTCTACACTCAAAATTCATGTTCTCATACACTTTAATATTGTATTTAAATTATAAATTTAGATAAAAATTAAAAAAGAAAAAAAAATAAATTAAATGTGAATAAAATATAATTACATTTCATTTACATTTTTTCTTTTTCATTCTAAATTTTTACTCAAATCTAAAATCTAAATACAACCTGGGAATAATTATTCCAATTTTACGCGACACAAACCCTGCCCATTTAAGCTTTCCAGCATCAACAAAATGAAAAATAAAACCATGATGAGTTATGCCAACAACCAACTCTGCAATACCAAAGTAAAAGAAAATGTGCAAAAATCTCATTTAGTAACAAGTTCAGCAGCAATTTTCACATAATAGATGTGAAATTAAATTCTATTGGAAACCACAAAATATCAGTCATCGAATGGATCTAGCCGGCACCCCCAAAATTTTTAAAAATTATGTATATTATATTAGTAATTAATAAGATAATTTTAAAATAGAGTCTTTGCACTTCTAAAATTTCAATAATTTACACCCTCCAAATTATTTATATTATAAAATTTAAAAATAATTTTTAAATTGAATTTTATTGATCTATTCTATTTGTATCTATATTATTTGTTATATTTCTATATTGTTTAGAATTACTTATATTTTTTTATTTGTCATTATTCTTTTTTTTTTTTGTTCATATGTCATTTATGTTTTTTTTTCTCCTCTTTTATAAATCACATTTTAATTTACTTATGCATCTTATTTTGCATTTATTTTTGTTTGTTCATTCTCTAAAAATAAAAATATTGTCTAAAAATAAAAATATTATCTATTTCAGCATAGCATTCTTAAAATAAATTCATTAAATTTAATACAATTTACTAATACAGATTATCGTTATACTTATAAAAACAAATATTTTCAATTATAATTTTTCTTTTAAAACTAAACTACTTAATAAGATAGAAGATAATTTTGTAACAAATTGTTTTTACCATATTTATAGAGAAATATATTAATTAAGGCTTTAATGTCAAACTTATCATAAATATTTTAATATATATTATAAAAAGTAACTGTTACTGTATTTTTAAATAGTTAACTTTAGTAGACATAGACATAATAATAATAATTAATATTTTGTTAAGTTATGCCAGCGAAAAACATATGGCTAATTGTATTTTTATTCTCAATTATATTAACAAAAAATGTTCGATTAATAATATAAATCGAAGGTTAAAATTTTATAATAATTTTTTTTGACAAAAAGTTACATGTGTTTTTGCCCTCCCAAAGTTCAAATCCTAACTAACGATAGGACGATCGCCACTCATCATCATCACCACCACCATCATCATCATAACAATAAGCAACACCACCCTCACCATCATCATAAATATCATCTTCATAAAATGTATTTGCGTCTTCTGACCAGTTGTATTCTAAATCTTTAGGTTTTGAATATTTATCACTGGCATTCGCACTATCAAGTTCTTCTGATTCATCACTTGAGGTTCTGCTCCCACTATCCTTATTGTCTTCAGATGTATCCTCATCCGGATAATCATTCAGAGGATTATCTTCGGCTGAAAACCCAAAAATAGACGCATTAATACATAAAGGTCTGAAAAATTGATGTAAAAGGATGGAGCAGGATTCATATGGATGATACCATTAGAATCATCGCTTTCATACTCGGATTCATCTAGGCCATCATCAAATTCATCATCATCTTCAACCTGTACCCTACACCATTGACATTTTATTCATTACAATGAAGAAGGAGATGTAACAAAGTTACCAATATGCAAGAATAAAAAATCCTTACAAGGGAAACGGATTTGAAGCATCTTCCTCAGTTATGTTGGCGTCATCCTTCACAGCATACAAGTCATACAGAGTCATTCTTTGATGCTGCAGCATAACAATTAGAGGAACCTATCATAAAAATAAAAATAAAAAAATAGTTGCCCAATGTCGTGAAAAATCAATAGGGCATCTCAAAAATCAACACACCGATGCGACACTTGCCTATCTTTTTCTACCAGGTATGCCCATCAATATGGCACATCTACAACTGTTGTGATATTAATGAAGTTCATGTGAGACCCACTACATCAATTGCCGAGCGGGCAATCCCTGTCTCGTTTATCCAGCTAGCTTTTCTCCGTGGTACTCAAATTCTATTTGTGAGAGCTCCTTCGGCTCGGCTACTATTTTTTTGAAAGGTAAGGTGGGACCTTTATAACCCAAAAAGGCATTCTGAATAAAAATGTGGTAGAAAATCATGGTAACTATAGCACTATTTTTTTTGGGGGGGGGGGGGGAAACTGCAAAGTGCTAAGCCCTCTATCTAGACATCCCTAACATGTGTCTGAAACCAACATACTTCTAATTTCAGCCAGCACATAGATTAGACAGAGCTATGTGCGATACAGAGTGAAGAACCAGCACTATTGAAATCAACATGGTGAAAGTAAGATTGACTGTTTGGCCAAAACCCCTGCATCTCACTAGGAGGTTAGTGCATTGAATCTCCCCACCTACGCGTGAGTCTTATTTTCCCGTGTATTTGTTGGGGGGTTTTCTCCCACTTTGGGAGTTTCTTTTATATTAATTATGTGTGTATTTGATTTTTATTATTATGATTGTAATTCATTGGGCTTCATTCTAGTATCATACATATGAACTAAAAAAAACCATGGTGTGAAAGTAGGATTTAATTGTCAGGATTCAGGAATGGATGCCATCTTTTTTCTATACAAAGATTGATGAATAGATGCAGGTTTTTAACATCTGACCTGAAGACAAAAGAGCATAGAAGGAACATCATACTCTAAATGAAGCTGAATTTCAACCAAAAAACTATTTACAAAACATACAAATAAATAAATTCAAGAAATATAATTTGGAGCAAGACCTTGGTTGGACATATAGTCATGAATATACTCAATTTCCGCAGCAGCACTTGGGATGAACTTTCTTAATAGAGGAAGATAACTAGACAATCTTGTGATCCTCCAAATCCGTATCTCTGCATCAAAATTCAGAGAAGCCAAACCACTTTCAAAGGTCGTGCATTTAAAAAATAACATTAGAAAGTGCATGACAATAATACTTACTCCTGCTCCTGCACTTCACTAGCTGTTTCCTCAACATCAACACGAACAACATCATAGACATGACAAATTTCATGCAGAGCATCATCATGTGTTGCCTCTTTTCTCCCCTTTCTACTCCTCCATATTTGTTCAAAACGAGCATTTTTTGACAAAGCCTGATCAGAACAAAAAATATGAAATAACATTTTATGCAGCATATTTTACTTGGTCATCTCCGGTGAAAAAGAATGTGATCAAGAAATTGAATAATATCTCACTCTCAATTAGTTCAGCAAGCATAAAAAGTACAACTGAAAAGTATGGCTATCTATTTGCATTTTTAACTGTTAATCAACTAAGATCTACTTTCATTCATATTGTTCATAGGCAGATTTTATCAATTGCATACAAGAATACAGTATTACAGAAGCAAGGAGAGTTGGCCATTAGACATTTTAGAAATTTTAATCAAGCTTTTGATGAATATAGGAGGTTGGACTGACTTAGAAGGCAGTGGAAAGGGAATAGGAAAGGATGGATAAATTTTTCTCGCTATTTTGAATTCTGGAATTGGTAACCGGTCACAGAGTAAAATTGGCAAGATGCAAATATTTATTGGATTAGGAATTGTGTGGGAGCCTAGATTCATGAGAGTGGTATACCAAGATTGATTGTTCAATCATATCCAGCAACAGAGTTGGGATTTTACAAAGTGGGGTCAAAGCAAGAGCTAATTATCTGGAAGCGTTTATGTTAGAATTTACTATCACCTACCACCACTACCACCTCACCTACTCCACTAAGGCCAAGTTTGGGTACTTCCAAAAAAGCTAAAAAGTCAAAAAGTTACTCAAAAAGTTAAAAAGTTAACACTATTCACCAAAAGTCAACAATTACGGCTGCACAACTTCCAATTCAAATTTTTTCCTACAAATCAATTTTTACAATTTTTTATTACACATTTTTCAATAAAAAGTCAAAAAGTTAACCCAAACATCCATATTTTCAACCTCAATTTTTTAGTCCAAAAAGACAAAAAGTACACTTTTTTAGTCTTCCCAAACTTGGCCTAAACCTAACCCACTACACCACTACCACCTCACCTACTCCACTAAACCTAACCCACTACACCACTATCACCATCCACTACACACCATCCACTACACCTACATCTATATAAGGAACCATTTGTAATAGACAGAAAATAACATCAATATCAATCAATAATACATAAATTTTTACATGGTATCAGAGCGAGGTTAAGAACTTAGTGATTCCGCTTCACCGGCGGGCGGCAGCCTCGCCTTGGCCGTCCGCCGGACAAACCCAAATTTTCTAATTCTCTCTCTCCTCCATCCATCATAATCGAACCACCGGCCTTTCCATTCTCATCCAACCCCAACCCAGCCACTGACCCTCTCGTGGCGTAGTACCTGTCTTCCTTCTCTGGAGAACCTGATGCCGACTTCCGATTCTCCGAATTCCTGCAAATCACACCCACATGCAAATCAATATGTAATGACAAAGTGAGGAAACACAAATCATTAATTTTTCAGTGAGAATAAGCCAATTTTATAACCCAAACAATCCCAATGTGGCCAACAGCTAACAAAAAAACAACAAATAAAAATCTGCAGAATACACAATTAACATCAGAGTTGGGGCTTAGGATTCCAATTCTTTGCAAATATGTAGAAGTCTTGATCCTCCCTTTCCATGCTAGCCAAGCAAAAAATTGCGCTTTCGGAGGTGCTGCATTCTTCCAAATGAGCTCCACCACTTGTGTAGGCATGGTAGTTGTTAACTCACTCCACTTGTACGCAGACGAAACGGTAAATATTCCAGATCTGTCCGCAGCCCAAGATAACCCATCTACCACCCCGTACCTGAGCTCTGGAGCAGTTTGTAACAACTCCTTCATTTTCCTCAATTCTTCAACTTCCCATTGAAACAATGCTCTTCTGAAAGACAAGTCCCACCCTCCACTACCAGTACTCGTACTCTTAATTACTGCCACTGATACCCCTTGCTGCATAGACACAGAGTATAATCTAGGGAATAGGTTCTTTAAACAGTCACCACCAACCCATTGATCCAGCCAAAAACTTATGAGCCTCCCATCCCCAATGGTGATCTTTGAGTTGGCCTTAAGTACCTCCAACAGCTGTGGACACTTAAGAGCCACCTTCAAAATATCCCTTCATACCATAGAATATCTGGAATTTACATCTTGAGCTGGCCACCTAGATCCACCATTATGTGGGTACTTGCTGATAATCACTTTTTTCCAAATAGATTCAGATTCACTCCCAAACCTCCACCACCATTTGAGAAGAAGACATTCATTCATGGTTCTCACCTTTCTAATACCTAGACCCCCGTTACTCTTGCTTTGAGTAATTTCTTCCCATTTTACCATATGTATTTTCCTTCTAAGTTCATCACCCCCCCACAAAAATCTGGACTGAATTTTATCAATTTCTTTGGCTACCCCTTCAGGCATTCTAAACAAGGATAAATAAAACACTGGTAGTGAAGATAGCACAGACTTGATCATTGTCAACCGACCAGCGAAGGAAAGAAGCCTACGCTTCCATGAAGCAAGCTTTGATTTGAATTGATCTATGACAGGTTGCCAAGACCTTCTCCTCCTTGGATTAGCCCCCAATGGCATCCCTAAATACTTCAAAGGTAATTTGTGATGCAGACAATTCAGTATGGCAGCAAAATCTTTGGTAAGGTCTTCATTAATACCAACACCGCACACTACACTTTTGTGATAGTTTATCTTCAACCCAGACAAGATTTCAAAGCATCTCAATATTCTTTTGATATTAAGCACCTCCTCCCTCCTTGCCTCACAAAACAAGATTGTGTCATCGGCAAATTGTAGGTGGGTAATAGTAAGATCATTAGAACCAACTGATGCACCCTTGATTAGTCCAGCCTGGACAGCTCTATGCAACAGAATATTAAGACCCTCAGCTACAATGTTAAATAAAAAGGGGGATAAAGGATCACCTTGTCTGAGACCCCTTTGAGGACTAAACTCAGCTGTAGGTGATCCATTCACCAGAATAGAGATTTTGGCAGTTGAGACACATTCCTTCATCCATCTGATCCATTTTGCACCAAAACCAAAATTTGATAACATGGAGAATAGAAACCCCCAATTTATTGAATCATATGCTTTCTCGAAGTCAAGCTTTAATACAACACCTTTCTTTTGCTTCTTCTTCCAATCATCAACAATCTCATTAGCAATCAGAATACCATCAAGGATGCTTCTACCCCCTATAAAAGCTGATTGAGACTCACTAATGATCCTTGTTAAAACATTTTTGAGTCTACTAGATAACACTTTGGAGAGCACTTTGTACAATGATCCAATAAGACTGATTGGCCTAAAATCACTAAGAGAATAGGGATTTTCATTCTTAGGAATCAAGGCAACAAAGGAGCTATTAATACCAAAGACCAGCTTAGAGTTAGTATGAAACTCACTCATGAACTTCATCACATTCCCTTTAATTATATGCCAACATTTCTGGAACATCAAAAGGTTAAATCCATCCGGGCCAGGGGCCTTATTTCCATCACAACTCTTAATAGCTGCCATAACTTCATTTTCTGTGAACTCAGCTTCCAAAGCAACACGCTCCTCTTCTTCCCCAATCGACTTAAAAGGACCATTTAAACTTGGCCTATCAAACCATGATTCTGAAAACTGCCTCTGAAAGTGATTAAGCACTTCTGTTCTAATTTCCTTAGGGTCTTCAGTGAAGACCCCATTAACCTCAATTGAGCAAAGTGCATTCTGATTCCTTCTCGTGGAGGCCATGATATGGAAAAATTTAGTATTCCTATCGGCTTTTAGTGACCAGTTAGCTCTAGACTTTTGTAACCATACCCATTCAACCATTTTACTCAAATTCCATGCTTCGCCTTTTAATTCCCTAAATTTAGATCTCTCTGTCTCAGTGAGTACTCTTTGCTCAGTTAACAAATCCAAGTCATGTATCTCCTCCTCCAGTTGCTTTAGCTTTGAATCCACCTTACCAAACACCTCCAGGTTCCATTTTTTCAATGCTGCTTTAAGTAATCTGAATTTCTGTAAGCATTTGAATCCAGCCCAACCACTGACATGAGATTCAGACCAAACTTTCTGCACAAAGTTCTTAAACTTCGGATGAAGACACCATGCATTTAAAGACCTAAAAGGCTTTGGACCCCAATCTCTTTCATCTTCCATCATTAAAATAGGACAGTGGTCCGAGAGCCTTCTTGGTAAACCCCACAGTTTAAAATTAAATTTTTGCAACCACTCTGGGCTGTGTAAAAATCTGTCCAGCCTGCTCCATTTGACACCATTCTGAGAATTACACCAAGTAAACTTTCTCCCCAACATTGGTAAGTCACACACTTCCAGGTTTTCGATTAGCTCATTAAAATCCTTCATACCGCCACATCTTTGGGAACAACCGACCCTCTCAGAATAAAACCGAATCTCATTAAAATCCCCCCCCAAGCACCAAGGGTTAATAAAATTTCTCTTTAAATTCTTCAGAGTTTCCCATAGTCCCTTCCTCTTAACACCATCGGTCGGGCCATAGACATTGACAATAACACAAGCTATACTAGAAAATAGAGTGCCAGACAAAATGATGAAATACCTGTTACAGCAACAGTCCAGCATTTAAAAAGCTTGTGGATTCCAGACACACAGTAGTCCACCAGCTGCACCCTCTGAGTCCACCGCCATATACTCCATCTGATCCCCAGGCCAACAAGATCTGACAAATTCCTCAGTTATATCAGGTCTCTTAGTTTCCTGAAACAGTGCCATATCCACCTTCCTTTCGAAGAGAAGTTTTTTGATTTTTCTCCTTTTCATGGGCTTGCCTAGCCCTCTAACATTCCAAGATAAGATCTTCATTAACACCAATTTGCCCACCAAAAGCTCCACGGCAGATACATATTATTCTGCCTTGCTGCCCCTTTTACCCAGCACCTCCTTATCCTTAACTTCCAGTTCCATCAATTTGCTGATTACTTCCTCATCCTTACCTTTACATTTCAGCCCAAGCAGCTTCCCTATCTTCAGAGATGCTTCTGCCTCATTAAGAAGCAACTGGCTAGAGACTGATTTGCTGCCCATGGACAGTGAAATAGCTGCAGCTGCCGACCGAAAAATAGCTCCCTTCCTGAAATTCAACACTGATCCAACCCCTATTTGTATGTTTCCTTTTCTCTTCCTCTGGTATTTCACCATCCCTTTACCTTTCTCTTTTATGGTAGTCTTCCTCGTTTGATCTGCCACTGCCAGAGAACAAGTTGCTACACCGTAGGTCTCCTTTACCACACTGTCAAGAGCTTCTTTATCTTTGCTATTTTGGACTTCATCCTCCTCTATTAGCTGATCCTTTGGATCACTTAACTCTGAATATCTATGGCCCAGGTTGTTACCACACTGTAGGACATGGGCCTTATGTAATAACACCTCTAAGTTAAGCCCAGGTGCATTTTTTTCTGGCCCACTAAGACTCTTCATAAAGCCTGAAGTAGCAACAACATCTGTTACAAGCTGGTTGCCTTCAATTTGAATCTGAATGGGAGTTGGCCCTGATTTGACTGACAGACATCCGTATGCTTCCCTTCCATCTCCAGGTTGCTTCGGCAGACAGTCCAGCTGCCCTATCGACATGATGGACTCCTCAATCCTAGATGTACTTAGCTCCCTCTGTTGACCATCAGTAGCCGTATGATCATCATTTCCTACCCTTAGCCCCTTTGCCCCCACAACATCTGTGTTATCCAGCTCACCACCACCGTGGCCCTCCACATCAGCTACATCTTCACCCTCTTTGCTCCCTACAACGGATCTCTGCTCTTGATCCTGCTCCTCACCATTTGAATTTGAATTTGCCATTTGGGCCTGTTCACTATAGCATTTACATTGCTTGTATATCACCTCTGAGATTACCACCTGTTCTTCACACACCTTGACTGGAAAATCGATTCCCTTGCATCGCAGAATAATGGTTGTGTTTATGGACTCCATGCACTTAGTGGCAATCCTCACCTTACCACTGTGAAAAGACAGCATTCTGGATGTATCCTCATCAATGCCTATGACCTCTCCCCATACCCTTCCAATGCTACTAAACGTATTGCTACTCCAGAGATTCAGAGGAACACCATAACAAGTGAGCCATACAGATCTTTCTTGATCAAGGATCATCCCCTGCTGCCATACCTTGACGGATTCGCACCATGGCTGACTCCACCCCTCCATCGATTTGAGCTTCTCATTCAAGGAGCCCGCTGATTCAAACGTTAGCACAATATCTCTTCCCCCTCCATCTCTAACATAAACATTTCCCATTCCTCTGTTCTTCAATTCCTCTTTGAACTCCCCCGCACATGTGTGAGATTTCAATCGAACAATCGCACTTTCATACAACCAACCATTCCCCTCCTCGTAAGTTTGGATACTAATGTTTGAATTTGAAACCAGCCCTGAACCAGTCAATATTTGTGCAAACGACTTTCCCCTTTGTATCGTATTTGTAGCTCTGCTGATTGTGGCAAAATCCCGTCTTTGTAGCGTATCCATACCTTTGCTTGTTGTGGCAAAATCCCTTCTACCAACTGATGTAATTACTGGTTTCTGGTTGTCCTCCTTTCCTTGAGCAAAATCTGCTATCTTCACTTTCAAAGCTCTGTTATCGCACCAGATACCATGAGCTTTTTGGACCGCTATGTTCGTTGCCACTGGACAGTCGTACCGGACAAACCCAAATCTTGATCTAGTCACCTTTCGCCTTTTGTTAAGGATGAACACATCCTTCACTACCCCAAAATTGGTGAATATGTTATACAACCCTTTTGGGTCCATGGATTCTGGGAGATTATCCACAAAGATCGTGTGAATCTCATTACCGAGATCTGAATTCCTACCACCCTTACCACTATACTTGCGCAGAACCGGCTTCCACCCTCTGTCTTCCACCATCCTTATCGCACACCTAAATTCAACTCTGAACAAAATAAATTGCAGCCAATCGTGGGAGCCTAGATTCATGAGAGTGGTATACCAAGATTGATTGTTCAATCATATCCAGCAACAGAGTTGGGATTTTACAAAGTGGGGTCAAAGCAAGAGCTAATTATCTGGAAGCGTTTACTTCAACAAAATATAGGAGTTCATAACCAAATGTTATCTTACCATTACTTTAATATAAAATAGGCAAAATTATACTATGTAATTAAATCTCTAACAAAGTAATAATTTCATAAAAATATTCCAAACACAGCCCCTGACAATCACTAATGCCTCTTAGAGCCTATGTTACATAGATAGACTCTTCTGAATGTATGAAGTACCCATGTTGGACACTCAACACTTGGGTAAGGTATGGATGTGTCCAACATGTGTAGTTGGACATTCACCTAACAACCATATTTAGTAATTGAGATAACCATAAACCCAAAAATAAAGTCGCATCTTTATGTAGCCGACCCCATTTGATGGGACTTAAAGCTTGGTTTGGTTTGGTTTGGTTTGGGTTTATCTTCAGCATGAAATGCTTTATGACACTTTTGCGACCACAATTATACCCTTCAAAATAAAAGTAGTACATTAAAAATATTGATATTTTATCGTGTCTTTGTATCCTTGGACATGAAAATTAAATAAATAGACACTAAAACACATATTCGCATGCAACACCTATACCTGAGTTCCATGTAATATAAGAGCAAACTCAAGCGTTTACCAATGGGTGGAGGTAGGTACCACTTAAGCATCCTTAGGCTCAAAAAAGATTAGGGAAAAGTAAATACCTAAACTAATTTTTTTTAATCAAAATTGAATACTTAAACCAAGACTAAATTCTTTCTCATTGACAAATCATAGTTTGGATCTCTCTCGCGCGCGCAAAACCTTAGCAGTAATTATAACATTCAATCACGGTACGAGATTCAGTTAATGATTCTAAGCAGCATCATGTAAAAACTATCTATTGCCTTTGCCTAATACATATTACTATTACTGCGGTCTATGAGTACAAATTGGGATTGGGGGGAGCATATAGAAATGAATAAAAATATCCAGGCCATTATTCAGAAAAAGGACACAAATTTAACATGTAAAAGAAGCAGCTAATACTAAATTCAGCCAAAGTGAATCAGTGGCACCAAAAGCTACTGACAACTTTCTACATACCTCTTGTTTTTGTTTGGCTTTAACCAGCAATTGATCTTGTTTCTGCCATAACATTACATTGACAATGCTGAAGTGTCAGTTCCAAGAAGTCAATCATTTTTAAAGCAGTTAACTATGCATAAGTGTCTCTCCAGGAAGGTATAAATACAAATACAGCAATAAGTTTGTATTTATATACAAGGAAGAGGAGGATGAAATGAAACGAGAAGACCCACCCTTACAAAGACCAACAACACGCATGTCTCCAAATATTTAGTAGATGAATCAAACATATCAGCAGCAAGTGATTTAAAAATTATTGTTTACTTGTGACCGTGAATGAAATTTTAAATACTGGTAACTAAAAAAAATTAATAAAGATGCCTCAATGATATTGACAGAAGCAACATTGACATCCAAAAGATTAACTCAACAATGCATCTCATTGCAGGATTTTGGTCACAACTTTACTGTGGTTGGCAACCACTAGAGGCACAACTTAAGTATCTCCATGATAAGAGAACAAATGATTTTGCATGTTGGCTACATATGCTTTTATAAGATCACAACAGACTACAGTATAATGCAACGATATGAAAAAAGATGGCATCAACAGGTTGAGAAGTATGATTCACTACATATTCAACATGTATTTTCTTCATTGCAAAGATCAACATCAAAACTTAGAAGTAGATTGGATCTTAACTCTAAAATCTGTAAATGCTGCCAAAACATAGAGAACTCAACCTAGACACATTAAATTAAAAATATATTCAACACTGACCTTGGATCTATAGGCCAATAACTTCTCAGCACTTCCAAACAAATGGCTGTGGTCCTTGTGAAGATTCATGGGTATAATGATAGAAATGTATCATGTTTCTATGATAATGACCTTATATTAAGTTACCATTCTTTTTGAGGACTTGATCCATTCCCCGAATTCTAGAATTTAACAAATCTATGTGACTCTCACTTTGAAGGGATTCATCAAGAGAATCCAAATTTAACCAGGTTCTGTTCAAATATCAAGTATAATTCATGTTTCATGAGATTTCTTTTTGATCCCACTAGAAGATTTCAAAGCCAATACATATGTGGAACCAGAATTGACTGAATTTGGGATCAACCTCATACCATTTCATTTGGTTATTTAAAAAAATGAAGGTGGATCATAGATTCCTGGCTGTTTGCACCACATTTTATTTTTCTATTGATTGTGGCCTATTAATTATGACCAAGTTCGATAATGGTCTGTCGATTGAAATCATAAACTATTCTCAAAGAATAACCTTGACCACATTTGTTTTTATTGTTATTATTTCTGTCGACAGACATGTTAACGTTGGTGCTAAAATTTAGGAACCTTTCATTGACAAAATGCTGACAAGGCATAAAGATGACATGGCAGGATTGGTAAATATGGCTGACATGGAGTAAGGATGTGTTGAAAAGAGAAGGATAAGGAAGATAATGACAGAAAATCAAGGAAGAAATCAAAAATTCAAAGAAGCAGTTCCTAGAATGTAGGGATAGGCATGACGGAAATCAAAGAAACACTTAGAAAATATGAGGAAGAAGAACTCCGAAAATATGAGGAAGAAGGAATATATTTCTGTTATATTCAAAACTTCTTATCTTACAAGACCAAATGACACTCCTTATATAGGAGATATTACAAACATCATCATAACCCATTATATGCCACTTACATATTATATATTACCACAATCTACCACTATCATATTATATACATGCCACCAACACCACTATCATATTATATACATGCCACCAACACCACTATCATATTATATACATGCCACCAACACCACTATCATATATTTTTTCGTTCTGCAATGCCATTTTGTTGAGGGGTATCCCGACATGTAGATTGATGAAAAATTCCATTTTTTTCCAAAAACTCACCCAACTGCTCATTGAAATATTCTGTTCCATTATCAGAATGTAAAATACCAATTTTGGTTTGAAATTGGTTTTCAATCATATTGTAAAAATTTGTGAATAAATTTTTCACGTCAGATTTTTTATTCATCAAATAAATCCAACATAAGCGGGTATGGTCATCAATAAATGTAACAAACCATCTTTTACCAGAAAGAGTAGTGATTTTAGAAGGGCCCCAAACATCACCAGCCTTAGCAGCTTGTAACTTCAAGTTAGGCTCGATCGGAGTCTCCACCATCTTACAACCAAGCATACCTGTTTCTCCAAGGAGATCAAGAACATATTTTCTCTGATTAACGAATATACCTTCCTTGGATCTTGCAAATTCCATTCCGAGGAAATACTTGAGGGCTCCCAGATCCTTAATGTGAAATTCTTTTGCGAGTTTCTCTTTGAGAGCTGCTAACTCTGCTTCATCATTACCAGTTAAAAAAGATAAAAGGGTTCGGGAGTTGCTTGGAAGTTAAGAACTTGCGCAAGTGGTTTTCGGGACCCTTGAACGGAGCGGTTGTATTCGGACCCTAGGTGGTTTGGTGTAAGGAGGGATTCGGGCAAGGCCCTATTTTACCATCTCTTTTGAGGCCCTGCGGTTGGCGCTACGCGGTATATAACCGTTGGTAGGCATCCGAGGTTAGGTCTGCAACAAAGCAGCAAAAGAGGGGGCATACCGAATAATCCGCGTCCGATTCTTGTGGTTGGGAGGACGAAATCTCTTTGGGGGATTTCTAGTTACTAACTTCTGACTCAACTCCTAATGTATTTATTTGTTATTGGAGTATCATGCCTTACTATTTGACGTTATAAATGTGATTGTGTATTGGACTGGGAAAAAGGGGTGGGGTGTGTGTGTGTGTTTACTGGGCATTCAAAGCTCACGGCGTATCATGCCAGGTGACGAAGCAGAACTCATAGCTGGAGACGACGAACCCAAAACTTTTGAAGACTTTTGGCTATCCTAGAAAAAAAATAAAAATTAGAAGCTTCTTTTTGGATGTTTTGTAAAGACTCATTTGAAGATTTAAGCTTTCTTTTGGGATGTAATGTAAAGGAACCATCTTTTGAATTAAGTATATTTGTGGCTGTTATGTATTTATATTCTATGTATGAACCCTTTCATTACTTATGAGACATTGTGTCAATACCTTTTAAGATCTGTCAAAAGGGTAGTGCGTTGCCTAAGAAAGCTAGACTTAGAAGGGAGGCTAATTTGACTCCTCCGGCGATCTAGGATCTTACTTGGTTATTGACCATAAGACTCATTAGTGACTCTCCCTTGACTGCAACCAATAGTGTAGAATCGGGGCGTCACATGATGAGTATTGTCACAGCCCTAGTGACTCTCCCTTGACTGCAACTTATAGTGTAGAATCGGGGCGTCACAACTTGGTATCAGAGCCTAGGTTCAACCCTTACCCACGCGTTTCGACCTGCAATTAGAAACTACCTTGCGTTGACTATGTTAGAATCTTTCTTGACCTATCTTAGGGAATTTCTTCGAATTTCGGGCACACCAACATCAACTCACGAGGACCTGCTTCAGGAACGTGAAATGGTTTTAACTTTGAGTGCGGCCTCACATCGCGCAGTAGGGGTTACTATTAGTTCTACGCGTCTTCTATCGATTGTCGTATCTTCATCTTGTATTCGTAACCTTTATTCAATGTCATCCTTTCCAAGATTAAGTCTTGTCCATCTGGTCTTGTTTTATATACTACTATTTGTAAATTCGACCTCCTTTGACCCTTGATTATTTTATTTAGCCCAAGACTTGTTGTAAATAATTTCATTTCTTTACTCGGTGATGAATCTTGGATATTCAGTTTGAAACGCGAATGGCCAACGCAGTTTCAAGTTAAATATCTAGTTTACATCTATAACCTTGATCACATTGAAGTTTGAAACCATAACATCATACCATTCATCCATATCTCGGACAATCCTGATGTTATCACCATAACTGCTTCGTATTCTTCATCTCCACTTCAATCCAAATGTATATATGAAGTTATGTTGTGTGAACACCCTAGGATAATTAAACTCTAACTTAAGATCAGGAATTGCCTCTGTAGTTAGAATTTGACTTACGCCTCACCCCATTCAAAGAAAAACAAATGGTGGACCATACTTCGAGACAAGTAATAACATAAGCTTGCAAGCAACAATAGAAATGCAGTACCAGGAAATCGAAACCTTAAGAATGGACTAGTAACCGTGGCTAAAATCCTGAACCCTATCAAGAATTAGATTTTGGAGGAGTCTTACCATCTTTGTGGAAATAATCGGCACAACATTGACTTCAGAATGAAATGAGGTAGAATCCAAGAGGATTTGGAGCTTGTGGAAAGAAAACCCAGCTTCATGAGGGACCAAAAAGGAGCAACCAGAAGGCAACCGGCAGAGTCTTTGCCTTGCAAGAGGAAGAAGCAGACCCATCTGTAATCGAGGATAATTTAGTGCTATGCAATTCTTGGGTGCATGTTTTATTTAATATTGGTGCGTCACATTCTTTTATATCCTCTACTTGTGCTAAATCATTAGAACTGGTAGGAGAACCCCTAGAAGCTGCCTTAGATGTAATGTCACCTATGGGAGGATGCGTTCGGATAAGATTGATTTGTAAGGACTGTAAAATAGGAATGTCGGACTTCGATATCATTTTGGGCATAGACTGGTTGTCTGCCCACCGAGCAGTGATCGACTGTCGTCAAAGGAAAGTGGTAGCTCACACGCAAGATGGAACACGTTTCCAGTTTAAGGGGGATAGACAAGACCCCATGGCTTCAACAAAACATCGGACGCAGTGGCACGATCAACTTGCGGTAGGATAGCAAGTCTGATTCTAAATGAGGAGGGCCTAGGAGAAATAGAACTTCCGCGCGTAGTATGCGATTATGCAAATGTATTTCCTATGGAATTACCAGGATTGCCGCCAACTCGGGAAGTAGACTTTAGTATCGAGCAGCAACTTGGAACTACCCCAATATCCATGGCTCCGTATCGTATGGCACTAGTAGAACTACGAGAATTGAAGACACAACTACAAGAATTGCTCGAGAAAGGATTCATTAGGCCAAGTACTTCGCCATGGGGAGCACCCG